AGTGGTGCTTGGTTTCCTGGGTAACCTTCCCCATGTATGCATGCACACACTGAGAGCAGTCCCCTCTCCTGCCCATTTTCCACTGTCCATAAGGTGGGATTCTCGTAAAGCCTTCTTGGTCAGGTGAGATCCTGCTGCCCAGGCCTTCCCAAATACACCCAGCACATGGATCTTCACCTCTTCTTCACCTATCGCTCTCTGCTCACCCCTGCCCTCCTTGTGTCTCGCTCATCTTCCTGGGTTTGAAATTTTTTTAGAATTCTATAATTAAAGTGGTCATCAATTTACCATACTATATGCTAAGTTCATCTTTCTGTCTATATAGTAAAGAGGAAGGCAGTCAAGGGATCTGCTGGCAACAGAGCTTCACCATCGTACCACACATTTGCCTTCTTCCCGCAACCCTCACAACCAGCAGCTTCTCAGCTGCTTCCCCCTCAAAGCATGGCCGAATCTTCTTTATCATAAGGATCCCTTACTCTACCTGACATCACTCCTTTTATCCTTCCATTTCTTCCACATGATAAGAAGGGTGGGTGGGGATGGTTCTTTCCACATGAAAGGTAAGGCAGGTGGGATGAGGCCACAGGGTGAGTTAGAGCCCAGACCTCCTAATAAGGTCTGCCTGCCTTCTCCCAATGGTTGTCACCCTTGAGTCTCAGCAAGGCCTTTGAAAAATCACACCTTTCAAATGTGTTCAAGAATGAGACTCCTGAAGTTGGTAGATTTTAATGGGGGAAACCCCCCCCCCAGGGGGCATTTGGCAATATTAGGAAACTTTTTTGGTTGTTACAACATCCGGGGTGCACAGGTGCTCCTGGCTTCTAGTGTGTAGGGGACCGGGGATGCTCTTAAGCATCCTACAATGCACAGGACAGCTCCCCACAACCAAGAATCATCCAGCTCAAGATGTCAATAGGGTTGATATTGAGAAACCCTGCTTTAGGCTACACAAAATCTTAGAAAATAATGTTGCCTGGTCTCTGTTTCTAGGCAAGCTGTCTGCCCCCCAAACACTGTTTACTGATGACATACCTCCAATTAAAAGATCCCTTGTCTCCTCTTTTAAAAGTCACATTGTCAGGAATCTTCCTTCCTGCCTACCTTCAGGTCCTCCTGTTTCTAGCTGAAGTAGATTTCCTGTTGTTCAGCCATATTCCGAATAAATGGGTTGCTGGAGGCCTAAAGGCTGGTCAAGGCTCAGTCACCTGTCATTTTTTTGGTAGAGTCACCATCCTGTTCGAACAGAGACCCAGCTCCTTTGTCCCCTGATGCCGTGATGTCTCCCATCCCTTCTCACTGGCTCTTTCTCTATGTGTGTGTGTGTGTCTATGTTTTTCTCTCACCATTCTCCAGGTCCCCAGGCCCTGACCTGGCCTTCCTGACTTCCTGTCCTGACAAGAACAAAGTCCATTTCAACCCGACCGGCTCGGCCTTCTGCCCCGTCAGCTTGATGAAGCCTCTCTTCCCCAGCATGGGCTTCATTTTCCGTAACTGCCCCTCAAGCCCGGGGTCCCCCCTGCCGCCCCCCAGCCCCAGGCCACCGCCTCGGAAGGATCCAGAGGCCTCCAAAGCCTCCTCGCTGCCGTTTGAGCCATGGCAGCGCACTCCGCCATCAGAAGAGCCCGTGCTCTTCCAGAGTTCCCTGGTGGTCTGAGGGCCCCAACCCTACCACTTCACCATGGAGACCAGTGCCTTGGTGGCAGGCCCCTCCCCAGCTCCCCTGAGGTTGGGGACAAAGGAGCCCTTCCCTCTCGGCCTTCGAGCACTTTCATTTATTGTGTCAAAGCCCCGGGTCCTCTTTCTGATGGACACCGGCCCCTCCGGATGTGAGGGGACCTGCCTTCTCCACTAGCAGCTGGGCAACTCACAAGTCACACCTGTGTTCTTGCCGCCTCTCTCACTTGGTGGAAAATTCACCCAGAAGGTCTTGGGTCCCCCACCTCTGGTTGTGAGTCCAAAGGACTATATCTGGGCCCCTTGACCTTGTCATGGAACAAGCTGGCCATGATCAAAGGAGAGGGGACACCACAGATTTCCTTCCCTCTCCTCCACAGACATGGAAGAGGAGACCCGAAGATAGATACCCCCGTCCTCCCAGCCCCCAGCCCCATGCCTCCCTCTGATTGGAGGAGCTGACCAAAGCAGCCCTAAAGGGCCATAACACTTGACCAATCCAGCTGCTGGCAGAGGGGGGAACCAAGCGTTTTCCCAAGTGGCATTTTCATCTCGCTTTCACCCTAAGATTGTCTTAAGCAGCAGCCCAGCTTGCCCAGCCCCTGGTGGGTGGTGGGGGAGAAGGAGAGCTGGCATTCCTCTAGGTGGCAAGCGGCGACTCTACACCCTCCACCTGCCCCAGGACTGGGTTGGATTAGAAAAATGCCTATTTTTCTTGTATCGATGTAGAAACTCTATTTTCTCCCAAAGACACTATTTTTGCAGCTGTTTGAAGTTTGTATATTTTCCGTACTGCAGAGCTTACACAAAATTGAAGAAGAATGTTAATGTTCAAGTTTTCTTATCCTGTGTTTAGTTGTTTTTTGCAGATCTTGGTGTTAATAGACCAAATAAATAAGTATTCCCAGCAGCTTGAGGTTCTGTTAAATGTTTTTTTTTGGGGGGGGGCGCGGAGAATGGGATGGAGATTGAGGGTTATTATATTGATCGCTTCATCCTTGTCTTAACACATAATGATGTGGATGTGGGTGTTGTATGGATGCCCGGAGTTTCTGTCCTCAGGTCACGAGGCTTGGATTATTTAGATGGACATCTAAGCAGTAGGTCCATGGAGAGGCTGTCCAGAATGAATAGCATGGTGGAGGTGGGGTGAAGGAGTGAGTGGGCAAGTCACTTATTCTGGGTGAGTCTGGCAAAGCTCCCTAGGGAGAATGGGTTTGAGAGAGGAAGTGAGGGTGACCAAGTCTGACATTGTGGGTGCTCCTTGCACTGGCAAGGGGAACAAACCAGGGAATGGTGGTTGGGTTGCATCTCTTGGCACAGGTTTAGGGAAGCTTTAGCTCTTCTGGAGTATTCTATCTCATGAGTACCCATAGCACAGAGGGGTTTGCAGCCTCTCAGCTTTTTTTTTTTTTTTTTAAGATTTTATTTATTCATGAGAGACACACAGAGAGCGAAAGGCAGAGACACAGACACAGGCAGAGGGAGAAGCAGGCTCCATGCAGGGAGCCTGATGCGGGACTCGATCCTGGGTCTCCAGGATCACACCCTGGGCTGAAGGTGGCGCTAAACCGCTGGGCCACCCAGGGATCCTGGCCTCTCAGTTTTATAGAACTGCACCTGATAAAGCTCAGAGGCTTTGGGGGGGGGGGGGATGTGAATGACCATCCCAACATTCTGATGGTGCTTTATGATTTACAAACATTTTCACTGGACATATTATCCCCAGTGTATGGGTGAAAAGTTGACTACCCCAAGGGAAGTCATAATAACTACAATTGTATCTATGTCCTAAGACCTCAAGACAAACTCCCAAAGGCGGCTATGCCAACTATCATTCTTTGGCGTGGTAAGCATCAGATCGTGTCATAGCACTTGGCATAAAATGTTACCGAAATACCACCACAACCCAATGAGAGAAATGTGATCAATCCCACTGTACTAAATGAGAGGACAGAAAAGATTGTATAACTTTACTCCAAAGACAGATGCTAAGTTGGGGAGCTAAGATGAAGCAGATCTTTTGAATCCGGTGCCCATGCTTCTAACTACAGCGCTCTCCTGCTTGTTATTTTCCCATCGATTTCAGATGAGGAGACTTGACTCAGAGGTCAAGAGAATTGTTTGAAGTCCCAGTGGGTGAAGCCGGTGAGCTGGGACTGGAACCCAGGTCTCTCACCCCAGCTATTGTTCGGGCCCTGGAATCACAGGCTGGCTTGTGAATAAGCCACTGGGCAAGACAGCAAATGTGAGAGGCCCCCCACCTCCACTGATAGAAAGGAGACACGGGTTTGAGGACAGACCCTATCTGCTATTTCTTACCCCTCCCCCTGAAAGATGTTTGGCCTACCCCCAAAGCCTCAGTGAGTCAGGCCTGGAGTGATGGGTGTGGTGCTGCCCCGAGTTTCCTTCCTTTGGCGGAGGCTGTGCCAAAGGACGGGGCTCTCAGAAGCAGAGAAGGAGCCTCTACCCAGATAGCAGCCCAGAGTCCATTGGCTAAGTGGGGCTTGGGGGTTGTAGTGCAATGTCCTGGGCTCTTGCCCTAGCCCTTGGTGCTAGCAGGTAGCAGGTGAGGAGGCCCAGCCTCGAATGAGGGAGGGGTAAAAAGAGGTGATGAATGGGAAATTTCGAACCTGGAGGGCCACTGGAGGGTTGTGTTCCATCATTGGTGAGGTGTAAGGCCCCAGGAGAAGATCCACTTCGGTAAGCTTCCATTTCCACTTACAGGATGTGAGAAAATAAGATCAGAGTTGGGGAAAGTGTAATGACTAATGATACCTTAAGCTTGCTCACAGCACACTTGACAGTTTATGAAACACTTTCACAAATCTCAGCTCATGTGTTCCTCGGAACAGTGAAGAGGCGACAAGGTGGCTTTTGCTAATTATCTATCCCTAGTTTCCAGGCTGGGAAAACTGTGGCTCGGAAGGTAGGCGACACGCGTAGGTGACCCCCTTGGAAGCCTAGTGATGCGCCCTTGGAAGGAGGCCTTGAACACTCTGGCAGAAGGTGAGACGCTGACGCGGGGCAGCAGCTAGGGGGCGCTGAGGTTCCACTGAGACTTCCCGGCGTTAGGACCGAGCGGAAGCCTGACCGCCAACTGGGGAAGAGATCGTGGGATTAGCCCAGCCGGCCGCACCTCCTCCCCGCTCACCTGTCCGTCTCCGCAAAGCGCAGCCAATGGGTGAGCTCCACATCCTCATACGTCATCATTCCTCGCCTGCGTAGCTCCTAGGCCGCCCCGCCGAGTTCCGGGTCGCAGCTGTCCTCGGAATTGCCTGATCGGAAGAACCCGAGGGTACGGAACTGGTGCCCGAGCGGCTGACTCCCTTGGTCAGCAGGGACGAAACTAAGGTCCCAGGGCGGATCTCCTTTTCTTGGGGACGGCTTCTGGGTCCCAAGGCGTCTCCCCCCGCGGAGGCCCTGAGCTGGCAGCTCTGGCGGTGGCTGCTGGGGCCTACTGCGCGGCGGTCTCATGCAGCTCCTATGAGGCCCCTGTCGCCGGTCGGCGATGTCCGGCTGGAGCTGTCGCCGCCGCCGCCGCTGCCGCTGCCGCTGCCGCTGCCGGCTGTGAGCGGGTCTCCGGTCGGGTCGTCCGGGCGTCTCATGGCCGCTAGCAGCTCTCTGGTGCCCGACCGGCTGCGCCTGCCGCTCTGCTTCCTCGGCGTCTTTGTCTGCTATTTCTACTATGGGATCCTGCAGGAAAAGATGTGAGCGGATTCCTGGGGCCGGAGCGCAGACCTGTCCCCCCGCCCCCGCCCCCGGCCCGGGCGTTCCCTCTTGCCCGCGCCCTCTCAGCACCCGCACACCTTTGCCGCCGCGGCTGAGCCTGCTCACATTTCCAAAATGCGAAAGTTGGTCTCCGGATTCTCGGGACCTGGTCATTTTTCTTCCCTTGTTTTTCTCCGTGTTGGTTCCAAGGGCTTGGGTTTTACAGGCTGAGCAGTCTCCCCACCCCCACCGAGTTTCCGTGCCTGTGCCACCTCTTTGGGACTTCCGATGTTTGGTTCTTTTGCCTTTGGCCTTACTGCTGTAGCCCAAATTCTTTCATCTGCTATTTGGGGGTACCTCCTTCCACCGTCTGTTTTTCCACATTTCCTCTAGCCCCATCCTTTACGGATTTTCTTTCCCAAGGCTCCGAGATCAGCAGACTGGGATGTCTGCTTTCTAGATCCAATAAAAATCAGCCCCCCTTTTGCGAACGAGGCCAGTGAACCTTACCAAACTGTCCCGTCTTCCGAAGAAGCAAGATCATTTTAAGGCTGTCAGTGACTAGACATACTAGATGGCCCCGAACGAAAATATACTAATTCTTCTCCCCTTTTTTCTTATCATTTCATTCTTAGAACAAGAGGAAAGTATGGGGAGGGAGCCAAGCAGGAAACATTCACTTTTGCCTTAACTTTGGTCTTCATCCAGTGTGTGATCAATGCTGTGTTTGCCAAGATCTGTGAGTACCTATGTAGTAAATCTGTTGTGTGCCCCCCTCCCTGTCCACCTATGAGGTCTTACTCTCAACATTTCCACCGTCCTTAGGACGTTCTCTGTTCAGTTGACAAAACCAGTGGGTTTGGAATGGGGTAAAACCCTATTTCCTTAAATTAGACCAACTTCTGAGTCAGAAATGTGCAGAGAATGGGTCTTATGTGTTCCAGATCCCCACTGGGAATACTTAATTTTTTTTCTTCTTCCCTTTGAGTTTCCTTTATGTGCGCGCTTCAAACATGTTTTGAGCTTCTCTCTTTGTTCCCTGGGAGCTACAGCAGAGCTAACTCGTCCCTTGAACTGAATGAGCCCCCATTTCTGCTCTGCATGTGGTCTTGTGCTTGGTGTAGATGAGACTGGAGAGTTGAATAATCTTCAGAGGTTTTTCCAGTCTAAGAGGACAGAAATATCTTATGCTTCTCGTCTTACTTGACATATTCCTTTCATGTGGCTTCAACTTTCGCTCAGTGGCCCATCCTGGGCCCACCAGGTTTCACTTATATGTTTTTTTTATCTTTTTCCAGTGATCCAGTTTTTTGACACTGCCAGGGTGGATCGTACTCGGAGCTGGCTCTATGCTGCCTGTTCTGTCTCCTATCTGGGTGCCATGGTCTCTAGCAACTCAGCACTACAGTTTGTCAACTATCCAACTCAGGTGAAACCTCAGGGTGTGACATGGGTTGGCTCAGAAGTTGTTTGATAAGAACTAAGAATTCCTCGCTCAGGTCTGTGACTTAAAAGAGAATGTGGTGGAGAAATTCAGAGACCAAAGAACTGCAGATCTGAAGCATAGTGGTGGTGGGTTGCCCACAATAGGCTGTGGTTTCTGGTGCAGGCCCCACAATTACTCAGCATAGCACCTACCACGGTGCCTGGCACATCACAGAGGCTCAGATATTATTTGCTGAATTTCATTTCAGGTCCTTGGTAAATCCTGCAAGCCAATCCCAGGTAAGCAGAAGATGATCTCTCCCTCTACCATCGTCACCCTTCCTGGAGTAGGCTCTCTGTTCCTCTCCCAGAGCTGTGTATCCCTTTGGAGTGGTTATGCCAGCCCAGCTATCTCCAGTGCCGTCCCTTTGTCCTTTTCTCCTGTCATCCTGTCATTTCTATATCACTTCCGATGGTGTTGGGTATGCATGGGCTGGAAGCTAGAGGCTTACCTAGTGTTTCACATGCCAGTCATTTTGGTGTCTTGTGTGCTTACATTGTCATTAGACATCCTAAGTCGCATTTTGATCATCAGTTTCTTTCTCTCAATCTCTTACACGTTCACTGTCCCCACCCTTGCCCCCGTTCCTTCTTGGATCTTTCACCTTTGTTCTCTGCCTTTTCCCTGCCTTATATCCTTTGTTCACCCTGTTGCTCAATCGTCTGTATCTAGGTGCCAGCCTTGTGCCTTCCTCTTAGCCTCTGCAGGCCTTCCTTCTCAGACATTGTTTTCTCCCGGGAGTCTCTTCTTGGCTCCTAAGAGGACAGTGTTGGGCTCATCAATGCCTGTGGGTACCCGAATTTTCCACTGTTTCTTCCCTGTAGTCATGCTCCTTGGAGTTACCCTCTTGAAGAAGAAGTACCCAATGGCCAAGTACCTGTGTGTGTTGCTAATTGTGGCTGGAGTGGCCCTTTTCATGTACAAACCCAAGAAAGTAGTTGGGATGGAAGAACACACAGTTGGCTACGGAGAGCTGCTTCTGGTATGTGATCCTGGTGGGAAAGGCAGCCTTTTCCAGTAATCACAACCAAGGAGCATCCCACCTGGGCATGTAAAAGGCCGGTTATATGTCAAGAGAGATTGTGATGCTCCTTGCCCCCATTTCTGGTCTTTGTCTCTTGCTGCGTGGCCCCTGGCTCTGCTAAGGCCATAGTGGGAAGCCTGAAATATTTAACAACAGCTCAGCTCTCCTGGGGAAGTGATGACTCTGAGGCCTGCAGTTAAATGCTAGTGTGAGGCCAGAGAGACCTGAGAACAAATAGGGAAGGAATAGCGTGTCTCTCATTGTCGCTTTCTGAGAAACCTGGAAGCCAGGTGTTTAAAATAATACTATAGTAGCTCTTGCTTACTTTGGATTAGGTATTGTTCCCAGTGGTTCACCTATTCGTTGGTTAATTTTTACAACAGAAACCTTATAACATATAAAATACTATCTCCATTTTCCTTGTAAAGACAGTGAGATACTAAAGTACTATTTCCATTTTCATTGTGAAGACACTGAGATACAGAGAGATTAAGTCACTTGTCATGGTCACATGGCTATTAATGGCAGAGGTAGTGGCTAACTTTGCCCAGGCTTCTAATCCTGGTAGTGTGACCACAGAATCCAGTCTGGATTACTACTCCAAGCCAGGAGCCTAACAGGCCAGGACTACATTTCCTTTCTCTACCATAATGGGAAAATATATGGCTCACCACAATGAGTTTCAGGCCCCTGCACGTGAGGCTTCGTGGCACTACGTTAGGAAGTGCTAGGCTTCCCATCCCACTCTGATTACGTTACGACTCTGTGGGTCAGATAGCTTGCTGTTCTAGTGCCTGGGCGGGGCAGGAGGCAGTGATCATGATCTCTCTTGACCCTTCGCCCATGACCAAATGGTAGCATTTTGTTCTGAGGACCCTGTCTTAAGACAGCAGCTTTGTGAGGAGTCTCAGAGAAGTGAGTCCTATGTCCTGGGTTAGGGAGGGGCCCTGGTGGCCTCTTCACTGCTGGGTGCATTCTCTCTTTTTCAGTTATTATCTCTGACCCTGGATGGACTGACAGGTGTTTCCCAGGACCACATGCGGGCTCATTACCAAACAGGCTCCAACCACATGATGTTGAATATCAACCTTTGGTCGACATTATTGCTGGGAGCTGGTAAGGAGTGGTTCTGCTATTCTTTCTGTGTATCACCAGAGGGCAGACTGCCCCCCTCCAGTTGATCCCTAGCTCAGATGGTGGTTGCTAATTTTACCAGGCCAAAGGCCTGTTTCAGCTCTAAGATGCCCCTCTGTCCAAACCCCTGCCAAACCTTCCTGGAGAAACCTTTCTTGGCGGGCTCTGCTTGCTTCTCATGACTGGCACAATCATGGTTAGACCTGTGCCAGCTACCATGGGAGGACACATGGTAGTGGGTCACAGCAGGACTTGGGGAAAACTTCCCTTCTAAGAGAGATGAGATATTGGTATTTCAAATGTAGTTTGAATATGAGTGCATTTGCTTTTAAATCAGTGTTTCCTAACCTTTTTTCAAATCTGGACACATGTGGGAAGTATCTTTTGAATAGCACAGTGGGGTTAACGGAGGAGACTGCTGATGGCTGGAGGTGACCAGTGCTTGGAGTTGCCTTAGGTTGGGGATGTGTGTATCTCCCCAACATCTGACATTCTCTGCTTCCAGTGACTTTGGCAGAAGTAACTAATTGACTCTCAAACCTCTCTTAGAAGAGTCTTTAGTTAGTTTTCTCTAATCAGGAAACTAGGAATAGGATGCCTGGTGGGGCAGTGTGAATTCAGTTCCTGCACTTCCCACACCTGGCTCTCCTGCAGAGTACTTTGCTGGGCTATGTACAAACACATGTGCTGGCACAGGCACACAAGGTGTGCCATTCATCTTTGGCATTTCTCCCCAGGAATCCTGTTCACTGGGGAGCTCTGGGAGTTCTTGAGCTTTGCCGAAAGGTACCCCAACATCATCTATAACATTCTGCTCTTTGGTCTGACCAGTGCCCTGGGTCAGGTGAGTACCTCGAGCTGGGGTGGCTTGGCTCCTCAAGAGACACTGACCTGGCTGGGAGAAGGGGTGGCAAGGCTAGCCCTGATGTCCTAGCGCAGACTTTAGATTTTGGGGTGGATCCCCAGGGCCAGCCTGATCTTGTTTTCTCGGTCTCTCTAGAGCTTCATCTTCATGACAGTTGTGTATTTTGGCCCCCTGACTTGCTCCATCATCACCACAACTCGAAAGTTCTTCACTATTTTGGCCTCTGTGATCCTCTTCGCCAATCCCATCAGCCCCTTGCAGTGGGTGGGCACCGTGCTTGTGTTCTTGGGTAAGTTTCCTGCAGAGCATCTCCAGGCACGTGAAGCAATAGTCACAGAGCTTTATTTCTTTTTATTCTAATTAATTTATTTTTTTGAGAGAGAGGGGGAGTGGGGAGCAGGAGAAGGAGAAAGAGAATCCCATGCAGCCTCCCGACTCCACGCATAGCCCGACGCTGAGCTTGATCTCATGACCTGAGCCAAAATCAAGAGTCCGACACTTAACTGACTGAGCCCCCCAGGCAACCTGTGATTGATTTAAAATGATACTTTTTTCCTGAGATTATATTTATGAAATTGATTTAGTTATTTTATTTTTAAGATTTTTATTTATTTATTCGTGAGAGACACAGAGAGGAGGGGGAGGCTGGGCAGAGACACAGGCAGAGGGAGAAGCAGGCTCCATGCAGGGAGCCTTACGTGGGATTCGATCCTGGGTCTCCAGGATCAGGCCCTGGGCTAAAGGCATCGCTTAAACCGCTGAGCCACCTGGGCTGCCTGATTTAGTTATTTTAGAGAAAGTGTTTTTAAAAGAGAAAAGGAAGGGACACCTAGGGGGTTCAGCAGTTGAGTGTCTGCCTTTGGCTTAGGGCGTGATCTCGGAGTTCCAGGATCAAGTCCCACATTGGGCTCCCTACAGGGATCATGCTTCTCCCTCTGCCTGGGTCTCTGTTTTCACTTTCTGTATCTCTCATGAATAAATAAATAAAATCTTCAAAAATAAATAAAAGGAAAGGAAATATTGCCTCTAATGCACCCTTCCTAATGAGCATTTCACTTTAGTGATTTTCCTTCAGTGACTTGGGTTCCTCAGACACTGAACAGGATAAAACTATTATAGTTAGATTTGTGCTGCTGTGGATGAGCTAAGAGAACTAGCTAAAAAGTTTTGACATTTTTTTCTTCTAGTTTCACTGTACTTTATTATTTATATGTAATTGCCTATATCTTGGTGATTTTTTTCATTTGATGCAATACTTTTTCTCTGAGGGAGTTCTGTAAAACCAGTATTTGGAGTTAGTTTTATTTAAAGCTCCAATTTTGGAGAATCAAAGCTGACTTCCCCCACCCACCGCCCCACCCTCACCCCCCCCAATCATTGGTGGGTTTCATTTCTCCTCATAAACCTAAGCCCATCTTCTCCCTTTCCATAGGTCTCGGTCTCGATGCCAAGTTTGGGAAAGGAGCCAAGAAGACATCCCACTAGGAAGAGAGAGACTACCTCCACTTCGAGAATATTTAAGTTATTGTCTCAAATATGGACATCTCTTGGGCAAATGGACACAATAGGGATAAAGGACTGGGTTCCAGTCTGTTTTTTTTTGTTGTTGTTTTTTAAGAAAAGGAAACAAAAATCACATATTCTTAAAAAAGTGCTTGGATTTTAACAAGACAGAGTTGCCAGTTTCTGTACTAGATGACCTGGAGCCCAGCCTAATGCAAACAGAGAAGAGAGAGGAAAGAGGCAGAGCTTGATACTCTTTGCCCAAGCTCCCTCTCGGATGTGGGGAACCTGGCTGGGTGGCTAATCCCTCCCCACCTCCCCTGCCACGAGCCCAGGCATTGTAGGGAGAAGCTTTAATAGATTTGCAGTTGGGCTTGTGGCCTCAGTTCCCACAGGTGGAGATCCAAATCTGCCAGGACAGGTGGCTGGCTGCTGAGCCAGAGAATGTAAAAATCACTGTATCTCTTCAAGCTCTGGTGGGCAAATATTTCTTTAAAAACTCCAGATACAGTCTTTCCTCAAGAAACCTCCCTTGAGGTTGGGGGGAAATGAGCCCAGAGCCTCCAAGTCTGCTGTGCTTTCACATTTCCCAACGGCCTCCTCTTCAGCCAGAGCTCCAGCAAGCGCAGAGTGGAGACCCAGTTGTATATATCATGAACAGCTTGGGAAGGTCAGTTCCCTCCCTCCATCCCTGCATCTGTTCTCAGTCCATGCAGTACCCTCCTGGGGAGGCTGTATTAATCCTATTCCCTTGTCCCCTTCAGCTGCTAAAGCATTGCAGTCCTCTGCTGTCGTGGCTGTGCCAAGGTGTCCCCAGGCCAGCTTCTGCCTGTTGAAAGGGATGCTGGGGGAAGGCATGGTGGCTGGGTGCTGGCACAGAGCCTCTGTCAAGTTTCCTGGGTGGCATCGGGGGGAAAAGGCGGAGCATGGAGCAGAGCCACCTGCCCACAGCCGCCTTCAGAGCTGGAAATCACAATCCTCCATGGACCAAACTTTACACATGAAAGTGCATTTCCACCAGCTGCAACTTGCACTCCATCTGTTCAGCAGCCCCAGCCCCTTGGCTCTCCAGCTGGGAGCCCAGCCTCCTTCCTGAGCGGCTGCCTCGCCATCCCTCCCCAGGCTTTCAAGCCAGCCTCACTTGCACTCGTTTTGCTCTCTAGGGCCTCTGGTGTTGCTGCAGCTCTGCCCCCAAGGCCCCCACTCTTTTCGAACTCCTCCTTGAGAGAAGAGGCTTTAAGTACATCTGACTGAACTTCCTTCCTTCTCCAACCCTTTCCCCTTTCTGTTTTTTATATCCCAAAGTTTGCAGCAATTAGCTCCTTCTCTTCTGGACTGATAGTTCTTCCAAACTGTCTTCTGCGGATTGGATAGGAGGTTAGAGGGTGTGACCAGTGCTGGGGACAGGCCATTGGACGATCTCATCCACCTCACCCTTCCCAACGAGCTGTCTCAGAGGTGCCTAATTGTAGGCACCAAGAGCAAGACAAAATCTTCAACAGCCCAGCATGGCTGTCACCTGATAGCAGAGCTAGTATATCCTACCTACTGTGTGCTGAGAGCCTGGCACTGGAGTATCTGTCCACCCCCTGTCTGCCCACCTAACCCATCCCTCCTGTGTGCCATGTACTGTGAACTTGCTGGGAGTTCAAAGCTAACTAGGACCAGTACTTCCCCTCTGGGGGGGTTCATAGTCTAAGAGGGAGACAGGTAAACAAATCATTGCATCTCAGATGCGCAGAGCTAACAACCAAGTGTCTGGGCAAGGTGAGGCTTGAGCTGGAGCGTGTGGGAAGATGAAAGGAGGAGGAAGTGGAGCCAAGTGGGAAATGGGTTTTTCAACTGCCCGGCTCCCCGCCCCCCCCCCCCCCCCCACACACACACCATGCTCCTGCCCTCAGTCAGGTCAGATGAGAGCAGTGGCTCTGCACTGAGACAGTTGTTCAGCTCAAATGGGGGACAGGTGAAGATGTGGCATGAGCTGCCGGTGTGCTCAGGTGGCACACTTACCTACAGGATCTCAGGAACCAAGTGTGCCAAGTTAGACCCAAGTCCACGGTGCTCTGTCATGGCATAAGGGCTGATAAATGTGAAATACCAGGCAAGTCCCAACAGAAGTAGTGTTGATCGCTAACCCTGGGCGGCCCAATGCCTCCGGTTTCTTAAGATCAAAGGACTTTTCATCTGTAGTTAATTCTCAGCTATGTGTACAAGGGAAGGAGCCGGCACACAAGTTTCCCCAAACACTATGTTTTTAGTTAGGGGTGTACTGTACTTAATGCCTATTTTGGTCACACCATCAGGTCAACCTCCTGAGCTGTTGGTCTCAGGCTTGTGGTAAAGCAGTTTGTCCATATCCTGGACCCCTAGCAGCCTCGTGTAAGGGGAGTGGCCCACCAGTGTGATTTGGAGTAAAAACGTGGCGAAAACTATTCTGGAATTAAATATTAAAAGAAAGAAAGAGTCTACTTGTAATTCCTATCCCTTTCAAAACATTTCCTGTGTCAATCTTTCAGGTGACACATTGAGGAATCAATGCCCTTTAACACCCTCGCAAGGAGGGCGGAGCAAGCACCTGTCCCTTGCAGAAATGGAAAAACAAGTTAGGGAAGGTTAAGTGACCTGCGGTAGGTCCTTGGGTATGTGCAGAAGAGATTCACTAGAACGCAGGGTTCCTGGAGTCCTAGTTACACCTTGGACTGTGCCCTCAGGCGGGGAGAAGCAAAGCTCCTCAGGAGGCCCACTGCCTGTGCTGTCTGCTCCCTCTTGTCAGTGGAACAGTTTGCACATTTTATGAGTGGTGGTGCTGGTCACTTTCTCCAGATGCCGTGGCAGAGAAATTATCCTGGGTCTCTGTGGGATCATTCAACCCTTCCTACTGAAAACACACCAGCTGTCTTCAGGAGCCACTGTCTCATATCTGTTGAACTCCCTTCCCAAAGCTCTTTAGTTCCTGAAAATTTGTCCTTACAACACTCCTGGCGGGAGAGCCTAGGCCAGGACAAGTATCCCCACATTTGGGATAGGGAGACTGAAACCCACCAAAGTGGATCAGCTGAAGTCCCATGGCTGTGGGAAGACAGGGCCCAGAAGTGAATCTTCACTTACCCCATGTCAGAAAGTCAGCGAGCTAAGCCACTGGTTCCCAGCAATTAAGATTTCCTGGTCCAGTAGAATTTCCAAATAATTGGTGGCGGGGGGGGGGGGGCTGGCTTTTTATTACTTTTTTTAAGTAAGGACATTAAAAAAAAACCAACCTATTACCAATATGGCTTACAACAAAACATTTTAACTCCAAAAAATTTTAGGAAGAGCTCTCCACCTCAAAATAAAGCACCCTTCTTCCAAAGAAATCATAGTTTAAATCACACCACAATGTAGATGAGGTAATTTTTTAATTACAGAAAATGTTCAACATAAAATGTTATTCCATGATAATGCATTGTAGGCTGTATCCTTATGATTGCTCGCTCAATACAACTTGGTCCACCGATGCTGGAATGTCACATAAACACGCTGACAAAGATGGAAGCACCCTGCAATGAGGTCTCACATCAGTTAGAACATTCTGAGGGAGTGTGTAAACAACATCCCCCCTCACCTGGGCTACTTCTGTGTTCGCTCTATAGGGTTAGAAGGAGAGCAGGCCATGGGGGTCAGAGAGCTTTCCAGTAAGGGCTGTAGGAGGGAGACTTAGAGATCTGGAGCGCCCTGCTCCAAGATCTACTCCCAAAATGTTCCAGCCGTGGCTTTGATCACCTAGCTCAGAGCAGCCAGATTTTGCTCTGGAAGGTTTTCACCTACCAATTAAAGCCAAGTTCTGACAGATTAGTTCTCAGACTCAGTAGGCCCTGCCTGCCATGGCGTGAAGGGTGGGAATGGCAACAGAGAGGGTCTTGGAATAGAGAGTGCCTTCCACTCCACTGAGGTAGAGGTCCACAGGGCTGGTGGGCTTTCTGTCCAAATATGCCTGATTCCCTGTTATTTCTGGGAAAAGTGGAAGAGGAAGGAGCTTCAAAGCATTTATGGAGGGGAGGGACCGAATGTTTCTTCCCGCCCACTTCTGCATTTTGTCATGGTGTGTGGGTGGCCAGAGCTAGCAGAAGCACCATGTTTCAGTTTAGGTTCTGACTGGTCACCATTTCCTCCTACTCAGTGTCTAGAATGGCCACATTAGAGACCACAGCCCTAGAAGGAATGTGTCACTCTTGTGTGAAGACTTGGAACTCCCTCAAACTTTAAGTAAAAGTGTCTGTGCATGAAAAAATAAAAGTGTCTCCGTGTGTGTGCGCGCACGCGTGCAGGCATAATGGCACAAATGCTCACACATATGTCAGCTGGTAGGTTCATTTTTCTATAATGAGTCCACAGCTCTCTTCAGATTCTCAAAGGGGTTCATACATGATACCTGCCATAATCCTGAGGCTCATTTAATGAAAAGCAATTTCCCAAATACAGTAGTGTACCTGGGCACCACTGCAAAATATGAGAAAGCACCATCCCCAGCTCTGCTTAGAGGAGGGAGTGGGGTTGAGGTTGCAGAGATATGCCAGGAGTGTAACACAACCAAGTTCATTTCTGGTTTTCTCCTGGCCCCTCCACACGCTTTATAAGCTGGAACTGTCTAATTTAGCAAATAAAAACACAGGATGCCTGGCTACATTTGAATCGCAGATAAACAACACATAATTTTTTTTTTAGCATAAGTATGTGTCATCTAATGTCATACTTGGGACATACTTAAAAAATTATTTATGCGGGATCCCTGGGTGGCACAGCGGTTTGGCGCCTGCCTTTGGCCCAGGGCGCGATCCTGGAGACCCGGGATCGAGTCCCACGTCGGGCTTCCGGTGCATGCAGCCTGCTTCTCCCTCTGCCTGTGTCTCTGCACCTCTCTCTCTCTCTCTCACTGTGTGCCTATCATAAATAAATAAAAAATTTAAAAAAAATTATTTATGCAATATTTGAGACATATGTGTTGTTTATCTGAAATTCAAGTTTAGCCAGTGTTGCGTATTTACTTACAAGACTGTGGCATTAGTCATTATTACACATGTTCTCACCGGTCTTTCTTTTCCTCTCTGATACATCACCCCTTGCAATCCCACGCTTAGGGATTCCAGGTACTTTTGTTCAGGGCCAAACATTGTCGAATTCCCCCTTTGGGC